TTCTTTTATTAATCACATTTTATTACAGTTTATTACAGTGTATTTTCATAATTCAGCTGCTGCATTGTAAGGTTTGCTTAGTTTTCTTGTTCATCACAAAAAGCCGACTAATTTTTTTTGTGTAATATTTTCTTAAATATTTTTAATATGTTTATTTAGAAAAAAATATAAATTTTGACATTGTTTTAATATACCTAGTTACTTATATCTTCCTTACTGTATAATTTCCACATGTAAGACACTTTTTAGGTTTATATTATGAGCCTATTTTATGCTTTGACTTTCAAATAATTGTTAACGCTAGGCATATTTTGATCACTATGTCGACAATGAAAGACCCTTTATTACCTAACCTGACGACGAGTACATTCTTTAGCGTCGAGACAAAGACATCGTTCACCTAATACCAGCAGACTAAAAACTTCTTCGCCTAAAACGACAAGACAAAAACCTTAATTTTCTTACACGACAAAGCAAAAAAAGAACTAATACACTTAACACAATAAGAAAAGTTCTACTTCGCCAAACACGACTAGACTACGACCTATTTCGACAAAGATCTCATTAATTTTACACGACAAGAAAAAGGCTACTAAAAAGTGTGTACTATTAACCACAAATCGTAAGTATGTGAAGACTTAATGTATGACTGATTAATATCTAAGTAAATAAAAACAGTTCTGAATCGAATCTAGTACCTTACACAGTGTACGTTCATTTGTAAGAAATAAAGATGCAAGACTTATTTAAGTACTTTAGCTTTTTCAGTGCATTACTGTCGCCTACTTGAGAACCTTTAAAATATAATCGGTTGAAATAAATTAAATCTGATCATAAAAATGGTTAAACAAATTCCATACACAAACATGCATAGCTTAAATGTAAATGTAATCCAAAATGAAAAGCAGGCTGTGTCAGAGTCATTGGCCTCAATGGCGCATTACCAGTGGACACGTAATTCTTAATTGTGATGGAAGTCTGGTCGAGTCGGCAAAACTCATGGTTGATAAATTCGTAATAAATGAAAATGTATAAGCAAATATAGTATACATTGGTCTAATGTAGTTACATTACAACAGCTTGTGTCAAAACAACAAAATGTATACTTAAATGTTTGCATTAAAACGACTGCAAAGAGAGTATTTATATTTTTTTAGCGCAATTTCCATTCTGGAGAATTGCGTTTATTAACTCGTCATTTCTGGAATGGATGGATGAATGTATGGATGTATGAATGTGTGTCCGGGCTTTAAGTCGTATCTCCTCCTTAACGAAGCAATATCGATGACTAGTTCCAAAAGCAATTATGTTAAGCAAGTTACGAGAATAAACATAGGCCATAAAAATTCCGGGTTTCTTTCATGGATTTCCAGGAAAAGCCAAAAGACCTCGAAAAATGCAGTTTTTGGCCCATATCTCGGCAACCAGACAACTTAGCGACTTGAAACATGTACCAATCGATTTCTGCCATAATTTAGAACAATATTGCCAAAGAAAGCTTTCAAAAATATCCTCTCGTTCGGTCACAAATTTTAAAATTACATAAACACCTACAAACCGATCGTTCTTCTAGCTTGAACGCACCCCAGCATTATACGTCAGAGCTATTTTTAGATAACATAAGGAAATTGCGCATAAATGTCACTAGACTTTTTTAAATGAACACGTTAAACCGTTATTAAGGTTAATGAACACACACAACCACGTTCAAATACACTACCACTGTCCGGTGTTGTCACGCAGAATGTATTAATAAGCATAACTATAATAGTAAAATCATGCATGAAACAACAAGTATATTGAGAAAATTGATTGTTTCATGTTAAGAAAGACCTTATGTAACATTAATACTTTATATGACACACACAACCTCTCAAGGATACGCATTCACAACCAATGTTTACCATTCCAGACTGCTGGACTTTTGGTCACGAAAAAACTGTTGGTGCTCTCTGTCCAGCAGATTTTTGCAACTTGAACTTGAGGAAGGCCTACCAATCAGAAGTTGGTGGATTTCGCAATGTCATATAAACTTAACCTTTTGAATGTAACTCGAGATTTTCATGTTTGATACACTCTATGACTAGAAGACGCATGCTCGTTTTAATGTTATGTATGTTTAATAGTTTAAAACTGTATGTAGAAAATAAAAGTAAATTATTGCTAAAAGGAAATTATATTACTTCTGTGAAAATACGTAATTAATTTAACAACTTAAAAAATAATTAAACAAAATGTATTATTGAATCTTTCAAAATTAAACTGACAGATCAAACAAAAGTAAAGCATTATTTTAATAGAATGTAGTTAAGGAAACAATGCATATATCCTATTAACAAATCCCATCTTGAAAGCTCGCCCTTGTCTGAATTTTTATTTTATTTTTCTTGTTGCTTTTCAACTAATATGAAACTTTTTTTTTAAAATTGCATTTCTGAAAGAAAACGAAAACGTTTATACATCAACTATATTTTTTCTATTTTGTGTGTCCTTTAAAACTCATACATTTTAATAATCATATGTGATATACTCCGTCTGTTTCGCATTTATGAGCGGTCACTTTGTCTCTTTAATTGTTGTATGGTTCATGCACAACATAAACACAACTTCAAAGTGATTTACTTATAATACTATTTTATAATCACATGTTATCATTTAATTTCTTCTTCTTCTTCTTCGTTCTTAATTTTTAGTGTTGGGAGGGATCGAGCCTTATCTGCCAGAGGGTTTGAACTCGAGACTTCTTTCGAATTTATCAACCATGAGCTTTGCCGACTCGAGCACGCCTCCAACACAATTAAGGATTACGTGTCCACTGGTTATGCGCCATTGAGGCCATTGACTCTGATTTCAGCCTGCTTTTCTTTTTTAATTTGCTTCCATAGCCTTTGTCCAACCAAGAACAAACTACAAGTAAGCAGTTGTTTGATTTGGGAGTTGTCTCTCCTAGAAGAGTGGTTGTTCCCAGCTAACGAGCCTCATCTACCGAGGGTTCGTACTCGAGACATTTCGGTTTAGCAACCACGAGCTTTACCACGCCGACCCCAATCATTTATTTTAATACATGGCAAAAATTAAGAACGAGCAATAGCCTATGAAATGAAAAGTCAGACATAAGGTCTGATGTTATTGAAATTGTAGTTTTTGTTAAAGGTACAAAAAAAAAACAATTACGTTCAGGGTTATGGTTATTACTATTGCAGCGGCAGGTGAAATGTAAGGGTATCATTTAATTATATTTAACTGTTTTCAATCACATACATCAAATGCACTTTAAAATTGATCATAAAACAAAAAGTAACACATTGGCAGTAGTTGACATTAAGGATTCAATAAGTAATCGTGTACATGTCTTATTAAAAGCTAATACAATAATTTAAATTGACGTCCTGTAAGTGTGTGCGTGTGCATGTGCATGCGAATGTGCATGTGCATATGGGCGTTTAAGTCATAAGTATTCTGGTATGTTCAAGTGTTAATGTGGTGTTTTTGCAAGTTTTAGTATTATGTGCAAGTGTAAGTGTTATGTGCATGTATTAGTGTTATTTGTGCAAGTGTTAGTCGTTGTGTAAGCAAATGTGTTATGTTTCGCCAGTCGATGTTTTGAATGACGTCATAACAGTCAAACGATATTATTATAATTTTATTTTTTATATGCATTTTTATAAAGACTGAATATTTTATAACTGAATTATACGCACACGCTTTTTCTTACAAAACAGAGTTTTAGCACAGATATATACTAAATATTTTGAAGTAGAAAATGCAACCACAAAATGTGGGTTAAATTTTAAATTGAAACATTGTAAGACTCATCTTGACGTTATTCAATTGCATATAGATTGGTACGATCATTTAAAGTTTTTTTTTTCTTTTTCTTTTACTGTCAATCTTAACATTTGATTGTTCATGTTGTGACTCAATTAATTACACAATTTGAAAAATGTATTTAATCAATCACGTAATTAAGTAATTGAACTGTAAACAAACATTAAAAATCAACAGTTTTTTTTTAATTTGCATCTTAACTCAAGGCGAAACAAAATCATTACTTTTTAAAATATTTTAATTCTTAAAGTAGTTTTTTTCGTTTTTTTTTTTATCAGGCGTTGCCCAATCGGGTAAACGACATTCGAGCAAACGTATATTTTTTGGCCATTTGTTTCATTTGGGCAAATGTCCATTCGCAAATTTGTCGCAGTCAGTATTTTAGACGGTAGTTATTTCCCTGCTGGTGGAGAATTGAATGGAGTGACCAAGAATGCGATGGTGAACTCAAAAACGCTGGATGGAAGGGAAGTAACTATTGTTGACATGCCAGGGGTTTTTGTAACAAGCTCGGGTATTTATTCAGCTGCTGCTACTCTAAGTAGGGAATTCAGTCAAGCTATAGCAAAATGTCCTGAAGGTTTTCGTGTCTTACTTCTGATATTTTCGTTCGGAATGCGTTTAACTGCTGAAGAAAAACGATGCGTACAAGTGCTAAAGATAATGTTGGGCAAAGATGTATTTGCTAATTACGGCATCATTGTTATCACAAAAGGAGATGCATGCAAGGAGAATGGTGACACACCAATAAGTAATGGCTAAAATCAGAGAAATTCTTTAAAGATCCTCTAGAAGAATGTGGGGAAAGATGTAGTTTGTTTGAAAACAAAACGGCAGACCCAATAGTTAAAATAGAACAGAGAGTCTTATTATTTCATTATATTAACAAACTAGGTGGCAAAGTTTTCAGCAGTTTCTTATTTGAACTAGCAAAGAAAACACGTTCTAACTTGCTCATAAAGAAAGGCTTTTCAGAAAACGGAGATAATACCTTTCGAACAAACTGCGATGAAATGTATACATATCTACGTCAATTAAAACAAGACAAGCCAATCGATGAGAAAATAATAGAGCAAATTAAAAACACATACTGTGTGCTTGGGGAGCCAGAAAACAATAGTAAAATCCAATCGTTACAAAAATGTCTTGATGCCGTAATTAGAGAGCACGGGATGTACTCAACATTAGGAAAGTCATTCACAAAACAAGTGCAATGTGTGGGACACCTAATCCAGTGCTTGCATGAAGTATTGAAAGACATTTGTCACATTGATCATTTGGTTGCTTTAGACGTTGAGGAGAAAAACTGTTTTCCTAAAGGTTCGTCTGTCCTCCTTGAAAACGGACGGAAAGAGTTAGTAGAGAATCTATCGCCAGGAATGAAAGTTTTAGCATTCGATAAGAAAAAGGGTTTTGTCTATGATGAGATCTACATGTTCGGACATAAACAAGGAAACGCCGTGTCGAAATTTGTCGTCGTCCACACAGAGTCTCATCAAATAACTATCTCACCAGAACATCTAATTCTCTGTAAGAAAAACGACACGGAAAGTTTTGTCACCGCCAAAACTGTCTCACTCGGAGATGAAATTCTAACAAAATCTGAGCTGGGATTCGTCTGGTCAAGCGTGGCTGACGTCACGTACAGAGTGGACAGAGGTCTGTATGCACCTTTCACCAGAAGCGGCACCATTGTGGTGGACGGTGTCGTGGCCTCCTGCTACATCGATGTGCTGCCACATGACGTGTGTCACAGGATGGTGTCACCAATCAGGTGTTTGTACCGTGTGTCACCATCTCTGGTGAGACGTGTCTGTGGTGTGTCAGACACACAGCCGGTACCAAAGATAGCTCACCTGGCCGTGACAGTGTTATGGTACGGTAAGAAGATCACTAAGGAAAGACAGAGGGCATTAAAACTGTTTTGATAACAAGAAACGATGAATGAGAATTGACATGCATACTTATAATTGAATGCATAGTTACTAAATGGAAGACTGCGACATTCAAAATTACGAAAAATCAAAATTAAGCACGCGGTTGTATGTAAAGGAAAAATAGACATAAAGTCGAAACTGTGAATTCAAAGATTTAATTAAAATTTAAACATTTGAATTTTACATACTTTTTTGATATTTATTCATATTTTTAATCCTAATTTTTCCAAATACATTAATGATTAATATAATTTACTAATTACGTTGTGTATTAACAAAACATGTAAACATGTAATAGCATAGTAATATGAAGTTAAACGTTTTTAATTATACAACAATTAATATTTTATTACATAATACACATATGATTATTACACTTTTTAACTTAAAATTTGAAATTAAGTACTGACATTTTTGTTAAAACCATATTAAGTTTCAATGAAAAATGTAAAAATAAAAAATCCATGGTTTTTATTTGAGTTTCAAAACATCTTTATAGGAACATTTCAAAATTATATATTTTTGTGTATGATACATTGAGTGTACATAATACTTACTAAATCAATAAAAGTATAAAATCAAAAGTAAAAACCCAAACATTTAAAAGCCAGCTTTTGAATTTATAAACAACATAATAATAAACTACATTTTAAAATATATTTTTTATAACTATAAATTCACCTTTTCGGGATCGGCTGCTAATTTTGTAAATGTTAATTATTTTTAAAAAACCCAACTATCACATTTAAAAATATATCATTGAGAGCACACGTTTCTATAATCTGGTTTTCACAATAAACATATTTAACAAAAAATGTGTATTAAGTTTATTTGTATTATTATTATAGATAAATAAAAAGCTAGCGGTTCTGGTGCTTGTTAAACAAAACGAAAAAGAAAAACAAAAACGAGGTAACAATAACCAAAATTTAACTTTTTCTAAATACAAGATGGATGAGAATTATAGGTTCATTGTATTATGCATGTTTGCAAACATAGTTCGTTCAGCCGAAAAAAAGAAATTATTATAGCAAAGTTCATTGATTTTATTGAAATGTAAAAAGTAAAATTGTTTAATATATTGTCATTTTAAAAAAGACGGTCTAAAATCATAATGTATAATTTAACCAGAAAATGTTAACTGTTTTCATAAATGGCTGGAAATGTGTATTTTTATCATTCGGGCAAATATTACACCATTTTAAATTTTTACTGTAGTGACAAGTAACTTGCACCGTCACCATCCAACACATTTTGTGATGATGTAAAGATGCCAGATGTGTTACCCGCCTGTTGTAACTGACGTTCCAGACATTGTTTTTTTAACCGCAACATTTCCATCTCCATCTCGTGTTTTTCTCTGGCCATCCTTATTTCTTCAGCTTGTTTCTCCCTGGCCAACTTCAGTTCCTCTTGTTGTTTTTCTCTTTTTAATTTGATTTCCTCTTGTTCGAGCTTTCGTTTTGAAGCTTGTGATCTTATATAAGGCATTATCTTCCTTTTAAGATTAGGTCTAGATACTACAGTTTGACGGTTTTTTTGTTGTCTGAAACAATGCGTAGATGAATGTAGTTGAATTTATTACATTAATATGAAAGGCTAAACATGTTTTATATTTAAAGTGTTTTATTTATCCATCAACTGTATTGTTAAGTTCATTAACAATATAATTACCTTGCTGTAGGCAGTCGGTGCGACGAATAGTCTGTTTGTTCTAGAAAGAGACACGTAATTTTAAAAATACTTCACAGAAATATTATATATATATATATATATATATATATATATATATATATATATATATATATATATATATATATATATATATATATATATATATATACATTTACATAGATTAATCTGCAGCGTTAAATGATTTTATTATTTTCTTTACTCAATATACTATCATTATTTCGAGTAATCGAAAATTGACCATTCTTACAGCTGACATTTGGGTAGTTTTTACTTTGGGGAAATCATTCATACGTTCAAACTATATTGCGTCTCTAAAGCACACTTTCGGAATCAAAAGAATATACATTTTAAACGGCTCAATCCCAATACCAAATAGCTAAATAATTCTATAATCCTTGTCTAAGTGACAATACTATATTACATTTATATCTATTTATAAAGCCAAACTTATTGCGTTTTACCTACCAGCGATGATGTCAACTTGAAAATCGTGACTATTTGGATGTGTGGTTATTTCTTCTTGTAAGTTATTCTCTAAAACTGAACTTGAATACGTTTGTACATTTTCCTGCCCATGGTATAACGATGTAGTTTGTTCGGGCATTTGATGAGACAGGGAATGTACGGGACTGGTGCTGTAGTATGGTGTAAGGGGTGGTAACTCCGAAATGTAATTCGAGTCAATTGCGGAGAAGTGTGTGTCCGGGTTATCTTCATGGAAAAAAATATAAATGCATCTTCAATTTAACTTCTTTTATTTTTATTTTCATTTCAATATATATAATTTAAGTATATCTTGATATAATTTCAATAATCGATTCAAATTCAAGTTATTTCATATCTAGTTCTCTTAATTGATTTAAAAAAAAAATCATACCTTCTCTGTAAATGTGTTGTTCAGTCCTATAATGTTCATGTTCTGTCACTTCCATGTCGTCATCAGCTACAATGATTTCATTATAGTCATGAACTGCTATCATCAATATTATTTTAAACACAAGCACACACATACATTTGTCGTTAATATATACACAATATAACTTTATAAAATTGTCAATAGTTTTTGTACTTGCCTGCTATTTCCAATTCATTTACTTCAGCATTTTCCTGATGTTCGGTGACATCTATGTAATCCTCTTCATTGTTTTCATTCTCTGCAATATCAGTATTTCCATCATCATGCTCTACTGATGTCATTTCTTCATTATGTTGATATGCAGGCATGACTTCCTTAAATTCCTCATGACATATATCACACATGAGTTTCACTATTGACTTGTCAATGCCGGTCTCACCACTGACTGTAGACACGTTTTGTTGTGTCAGCTGTTTTTTAACCTGACTTTTTAGTCTTTGGTATTGTTCTATAATACCTTGTGTTTTGAGATGGGTAAATGTTGGATGCTGACTTTTAAATTGTGTTGCGATGTTTTCCCAGGCTTCTTGTCTCCAAGCTCTAGTCGTTTTATCACGTTTCTTGGATTCTATTTTGTCTCTGTGTTCATTTACCATCACAAGAAGGTCAGATTTTTCTTCTATAGACCAGTTTACAGTACGCCTTGAGTTTGTGCTGCTTTTACTGGCACTTGATAACCCACTTTGAGCCGCATGCTCTTTATTGACTTTTCTTCGTGTTGTTTTGTCAACTTTTATTAAATCTATGCTTATCGAATCGACTTTACGGCTGCCATCACCAGAACTTGATTTTTGGCATTTACTCATCTTTTCTTCGTTTGTTTTTCCTAGTTAATTTTGTTTAAATAGATTAACGTGATAAATATATAATTTACACAACCTAAAATATAAATTTGTCGTTTAGACGTAATATGAAATGAGAAGTAATATTATTCAGACATACATTTAAAAAGTATATTAATAAGTTAAACTAAATTTTACATAACATTTAAACAAATATTATAGCCTACATTTCTCCAAAGCTAGAAATATTGAATCATTAATTCGAAAGAAAACTTGAAAGATGTTTTTATATAGAGTTTTAGATGTTCTTATATCAGGCTATATAACTTTCAATGTGATGTATAATACATAATTCGCTATACGCAATCACCAATACAACAAATCAGTTGACCATTTTAGATTTAGCTTACCATGTATAAAAAATTCTCTGCTTTTCTTTTTAATTTCTTTTTTTAATGATTTATCAAATCCATTTTTTCCCATAAGCCTTTCATCCCCTGCTATTTTGTGCATGAACTCTATGTTTGACATAAGTTTGCTAATCAGCATAAGCAATTCGTCTTTTAGTGTTGTTTGTGCATAACGTAAACATTTTAGACTTATGTATGAGCAAATCTGAAACATAAAACAGATAGCTTTCATTTGATATAGAATCGTTTATATGTAGCCTATAATCGAAATATGATTTTTATGATATTTGTTACTTTTATAATACATATTAATGTTTATGAAAAATCATCAGAAATAACACAATACTGTTAATTAAAAATACGCATGTTGATCACGTTTAAAATTATGTGCCCTGATGACAGTAAGTTTTTAAATGTCCTTTTTGAAAACAATGTAATTACAATTATTTTGCACGTATTAAGTAAGAAAATGAAGGAACTTTATTATTTGCATACTGCTCAAATAAAATATATTTGTTGCTAGTTAATTGATTAAACAGCTGCAAAGTAAAACATTATTTTGATCAAATTATGTCTTTTGTCTTTTTGATACGAATGTTGAGTGATTAGCAACTTGATCAGTCAATTTGCAAAAAAAAAAAAATATTTTCATTATTAAACCCATCCTACACTACTGTAACGAGCAAAATACATATGGTGATTGTAAGTTGAGCTTGTCTCTGTCCAACTTACCAGACTAATATTGTTGTCATTTACACAGAATAATGTCAGGTCCTGCATTAAATATTGAAACTTTTCTTTTCTCTGATAAACACAAGCTTCTTTTAATTTCTTCATAACCAGTTGTATTTCATCTGAAATTAAACAATGTATATCTCTGCTATTGTTTAGAAATTAATTACACAAGGCCAAGACGTATCAATTAAATTTAAAATTAAACTGTATTGACTTAGAGAAAACATTATCAATCATCATCTTGTTTTCCTCGTTCGTGCTGAAGACATTTGGGGCATATGAAATAGAGTTTATCTCTTGCAACAACATCGGCAATGTGGCTAATACCACACATGGCCGCCATTTTTACCAAACTTGAGTCTGGTGTCTCTTAGGGCTGTGTAAACATTGCAAGTCTCAATCCCAGTATCTGAACTCAGAATTTTCGAGTTAGTGGTCGTAACCTCTACAATGTGAGTCGAAATATATTTGAAATATATTTTATGTTTATGTTTTGTTTAATTGCAGAACGCAAAATGTATGGACTGTCAATACAGAATTTTTTAAAATTATAGCTACTGCGAAATGAGTCACTTCTTCCGTCAGCTTACCTGTTGTGAATCTGACAGTTGCTTTATTGTCTCGCAACAGAATGTTAATTTTCTTTAATAAAATCTGATCATTGATGTCATGAGTTGCTGGTAAATACTCAATAGCCTGAAAAAAATATTATATTTTAAAATATTATTATAAATATATTAACAAAATTGTATTTTTTTAAAATAATATAAAATAACCTTCTGATTATGAACAAACCAACCTGCAAAACTGTTTCTCTTTCATCTCATTCTAAATGTATTGAGAGATTTGCTAAAATATTTAACATTCTTTTTACAAAATGATAAATCACGTTGACCTGCAAAATATTAATAATCATTTAACTTGTATTCAGGTCGATTATATTTACGTGTTCTACAACGCAAAACTCGGGAAAAATAGAAAATATTATGTTGCTTAGAATAAAGTTTCCCAGGTCAAGAGAATTGATGAAAAACGTTTTCAAAAATCGTGAATTTTTAGAAACACTTTAAAATATAGATTAATAAGAGTTGAAATTTTAAGGTGATATGTTTGAGCCAGAATAACAAGGTATGAAAACAGCCAAAATATACAAGTTTTTTTTTAATTAGCACTACTTTTTCATGGGATGTTAATTAAAATATATGAAACTAATTTTAATTTTTTTTTAAAGGATGATAGTGTATATCATAGGACATAGTCTATTAAATGTAAATTTGCTGAGTATCTTTTTTGAGTGTTCTAATCAAAACTTGATTCTTTTGACAGAATTTCTACTCTTCCTCTCTCACTCTTTTGTCCCTCTAAAACAGATAGGTCAAACCTTGACGTACCTCGCAGTTAAGAAACTCTTTAAAAGCTCTGATAAAGATGCCTACTATTCTTTTCTTTGCAACACACTGTGTCAAGTTCAAAGAAACAAATATGATTAGTTAGTAAAAAAACAAATGTTTCGATTTATAATGAAGTATGATATTTATCTTTGCACTTTTATTTCTACAATAAAATATGCGTCTTTAAGCAAATACAAATTGTAATTACCTCTGAAAACGCCAAATTTGATTTCATGTACAATTCAACGATGCTTAAACCCGTCATTAGAATAAAACTTTGTGTGGTGGAATGCATTGTCTGAGCTTTATTAAAGAGATCTGTTAAAGCATCTGCATCAGAATAGGAACATTTCAGTTACACATTTTTAATTGCAATGTATTTAAGAAAAATATTTCTATGATATATCATTAAATTTTTCCCAAACATTTATACATTAGTAAAGTGATTTAGTTCGATGAATTTTATAAGAACACAAACTATAACATATGTTTTGTTAGAAGTAAAAGAATGATTTATGTACATTTCAATAACACATTGATAACATCACTATTGGCAGAGGTAGTAGCCACATAATGTATTAGTGATAATGTAAAAGAATATATATATATATATATAGATATATACATATATATATATATATATATATATATATATATATATATATATATATATATATATATATATAGTGCAAAAAATGCTGTACCTGCATAAAAGGAAACATGTTCCTTTAGATTTCCATGTCTTACAATATCTAAAAACAACATCCTTATTAGACTAGAGACAGAAATACAGTCGTCTTTGAAGTGTTCTCTTGTTCTGTTTAGGACATCACAAATTATTTCAGCTCCTGGCTAAACAGTAAATATATCATACATTTAGATGTACATAAGTAAATTTCTGTTTTGCTTTCATAATACAACATACTGGCGATACAAAACATTTTACGTATTTGAATTAAAATTGTGAAATATAAATTTTCATTGAATACCTCGTAAATCTTGTTTAGTAATTCTTTGAAATTAATTATCCTGTAATATGGAAAATATTTTAAAATTATTTACAGACATGCTCAATTTCTGATGTGTTGCTCTTTTAAATTTTTCAAAATCGGAAATTCATATAGCTATATAGTTATGTTTGTGACAATTGTCGAACATAATTTAAAGTATGATGAAAGTATAGAACTCAGTAAAAGTCGCAATCTCTAAACAATAAAACTAAAAAGAAAATACGTGTAGTTATGCAAACATATTAAAATACAACCCTTAAAATTAAAGATTTCCTTCACAAATCCTACACAAAAATTTAAAACAACTTACCTTGAATTACTTTTTTGAACAAGATCACGAGCCGTATAACTTGTAAATTTATTTAAACCTGCTGGTTTGTAAATAATATGCTCATTTATTATAGCGGTATTTTGAAAATAATAACACGCTAAGTATAAAACAGTATTTAGTTTCTAATTGTCTCCAAATTAATGTGCAAAATAGACTGCCATGTTTGTAAATTTGACGGTGACATGTATAACGACTTTGGAAAATGTAATTTACCAGTGGGTAAAAAACAATAGGTGGTTAAAACGTTTAGTTATCTATCTTTTTATAAATGTACACATTGGTCTATAACTCTGGTTTCCTAGTTTAAATGTATTCTGGTATTCTAGTAATATTGTTATAAACCCTAAATATCAGTTATTTAATATCATTTACGAAAACTAATGTTGTTTTAAATCTAGTATAAACTTAAGAAACCAACAATATATTATAAGGCCAAATGTACATGTACAGTTGATGTCAGTTTCTCGATTAATGGCAGAAATTTTAATTGTGATAGCATTATTGTTTAAATTTTAGAGTAATGTTTCTATCTCAAAACCGAAAGTCCGACATAAATTAATTACCACTTTATATTTTATCAGTGTGAGTTTTATCTAAATATTATAAAATGTTAGAGGAGGGCGTCGTCGGGCGAAAGAGCATATGATTGATAACGCTAATAGTCACGATTTCAAAACTCCAGTTAGACTAGATCGCTAGATTGGGACAATATCCCCTCTAGGAGAGCAAACTCCACAATTTTAATACTGCTGGCTAGAAGAATGTTCTTCGATGGAATATGGAAGTACATCCAAAAAATCAGGTTGACATGTAATAGGTTATAGTTTCTGAGCAATTTATCTTTAATAATACAATTAATAACGAATAAGGAAATGAAAATGATAATATTTATTTTGGATTTAAAATGTTTACACTCACCAGTATAATCATGACATGTCGGGTTTTCTCCTCTATTTGTGGCTAAAGCTGACTGTAGATACAACTCATTGAGAAAAGCTGTCCATAATTCTATTTCACGAGTTCCGTTATTTAAAAAAAACGATCTTTGATGTAAATTGTGTAAACCAGAAAAAACTGAGGTAAATTCTAAAATATCGTTAGTTTTAACATTTGCTTTGTTTTCTACCAAAGTCTGTACGACACTGTAATGTCCATTCTTTAGTGCCAGGTCATAAGCTGTTTGACCTTTTTTGTTGACCCTATTGATGTCGTCTGTCTTCTTTATTAAAACCTGGACCACATTGTTCAACCCGTATTTAGATGCCAGCATTAGAGCTGTATTACCGTTGTTGTCTGTTGTATTGACGCCATTAGCTTTGTTTATCAAGATATGCACTACATGAGTGAGCTGTTTAATAATCTGTTGTATGTTTTTATACGTAAATCCATTGTTTCGTCGTTGATTTATCAGACCTAATTGTATAATTGCTATCATAAGTGGAGACCTGCCATCTCGGTCTATGACATTTGCTTGTGCATTTTTGTCTAGCAAATGTTCGATGATAGGCCAAACATTTTCCTCGACTTTTTTTTTCAAAATTTTTATTAACATAGTTTCATGTTTGTAATCAGAAACATTAACATCCGCATCTTGAACTAACAGATATTCTATTAGTTCAAACGTGTTGTCTTTATTCTGATAAGGTACAGGTTTAAAATATGAAACATACATGAGTGCTGTTCTCTGTTTCTTGTCAACCTGGTTGACCTTCGACCCCTTACTGACCAAATATTTCACCGTGTCAACTAAACAAGCTTGTGCCGCCATCATAAGTAACGTTCTACCTTTAGGACACACAACATCATCTTCTTTATAAAGTTTACAGACTCGTTCTATAAACTCGTAGTTTCTGTTTTCTAAAGCTATCATTAAAGCTGTTTTTTTATATTTGTTTACTGCGTTTACATCTTGTTTTATTTTAAGAAGGAGTTTGTTATTGCAACTGCCATATCTAAGTGGGCTATTTTTTGCATACAACATAAGTAATGTATTACTATCTTTATCCACAAGATCAAAATATGTTAGGTTTTTTGATTTAGTCAAAATTTGCTCCAATATATTTGGGTATTCTGATGCAAAATTCAAAATAAAATTGATTCCAGATGCAGTTAGTTTAAAACCACTATAATATGTATTTCTTGTTATTGCTGTTATCAGTATTTTCTTCACTGCAGCATCAATCTGTGAAACACAAACTCCTCTTTCCAACAAATATTCCATGACTTCTAAGTCACAACGTTTAGTAGCCCACATGAAAGCTGTTCTTCTTTTATTGTCTGTTTGATCTAAAGCTGACATATGACAACTGACCTGGTGTGTGCTTTGGTTTGATGGTGTAGTCTCTAGTAATAATTTGGTCATAAAAAGACTACTAAAGTTTGCTTTAGCAGCCCACATTAACGCCGTCCGACCTTGTTTGTCTTGTATGTAAATGTCAGCTTTATGCTCCAACAGGATCCTGACGTTATCTCCTTTATCATTTTTAACAGCTTTTATTAGCGCTGTTTCTCCTGCATTATCAACAACGTTAACATCAGTCATGTGATGTTCCAGCAATTGCCGTACTACATCTTTACAATTGTATCTTTGTACAGCATACATTAACGCCGTCTTCCCTTCATTATCAACAAGGTTAACATTAGCCATGTGATGTTCCAGCAATTGCCGCACTACATCATCATTACCCCTGGTTTCTACAGCATACATTAACGCCGTCTTCCCTTCATTATCAACAACGTTAACATCAGCCATGTGATGTTCCAGCAATTGCCGCACTACATCATCATTTCCCCTGGTTTCTACAGCATACATTAACGCCGTCTTCCCTTCATTATCAACAACGTTAACATTAGCCTTGTGATGTTGCAGTAATTGCCGCACTACGTCTTTACAATAGTATCTTTCTACAGCATACATCAACGCCGTCTTCCCCTTGTTATCAACAACGTTAACATCAGCCTTGTGATGTTCCAACAATTGCCGCACTACATCTTTATTAAACCATGTTTCTACAGCATACATTAACGCCGTCTTCCCTTCAATATCCCCCATGTCAATATCCCTATCAACCCCTGCTGGTATAAATCTCTTCTGTACAGCCAACATGAGCACCGAGGTTTTGTTGTTGTTGACATGGTTGACGTCAATGCCGTGATGAAGTAGTTCTTGTATTATATCAGTTCGTTGAGCTTTAATGTATGACCATTCATGTTCAGGTGTCTCCATCTGTAAAGCCAACATAAGCGCGGAATTCCCATCATTGCCTACATCATTAACGTTAACATTACTGTTGGCAAGGAGTAGTTTGACACTCTCCGATGAATTATTTTTTACAGCCAACATTAGTGAAGTATCATTGGAAACCTCATTTGAGTTGTAGTGTGGATGAAGGCGAGCTGTTAGAAGGTCACTTTTATTCTTTGACAAAAGTTCCATCAGTGCATTTCTTCCATCACAGTTCCTCACGTTAACATCTGCTCCATGTTTTAACAACACCTCAACAACCTCCTTTTTACCAGCCATCATTAGAGCTGTGTTACCATGGTGATCTGTTTTGTTAACATCTGCTCCATGTTTTAACAACACCTCAACAACCTCCTTTTTACCAGCCATCATTAGAGCTGTGATACCATGGTGATCTGTTTTGTTGACATCAAATCCTTTAGAAATCAGCCACTCCACAACTGTAGCATGTCCACCAATAGCTGCTAACATAAGAGCGTTTTGTCCTTTAAAGTTAGCATCCACAGTACCGTCATACAGTAGCTCTACAATGTCCAGGTGGCCATTCATGGCCGCTAACATGAAAGCTCTATTGCCATCGACATCAAACACAGAAGAATCACTGTATTTTTTAATGTCTAAAACGATTTCATTCAAACCTTTCATGGCAGCTAACATGAACGATGACCGTCCTATATTATTAGTTTGGTTTATACTTATTCCGCCATTAAGAATTGATGTTTTCATTTGACACTGTACTAAAATTTCAACTGTTTTTACATGTGCACCTTGTAATGATACAATTAACGCGTTATTCCCTTCTTTGTCAATTTTATTAACATCAGCGCCATACTGAAGTAACAATTCTACAATGTTAGAGTGACCTCTCCTTGCTGCATTCAAAAGGGCCGTCTCTCCAGTTGTACCAGATGTATAGTTGACATTTGCGCCATACTGAAGTAACAATTCTACAATGTTAAAGTGACCTTCACTTACTGCTTTTAAAAGTGCCGGCTCTACAAATGATCTTGCGGTGTAGTTAACATCGGCACCTTTCTCTAGTAAAATCTTCACAATATCTAAGTGTCCTTTAAAAACAGATTTACCGAGCGCAGATTCTCCATCTGAATTCCTTAAATTCACATCAGCTCCAGAGTCTACTAAATATTTTGTTATTTCAAAATAACCTTCGTCACAAGCATAAAATAGAGGAGGAGATTTACCTATATTAACGTCCGCACCATTTTCTACTAAAAATATTACTATGTCTATTTTACCCCTTTGAGCTGATATACATAGTGGGGAGTCTCCAGACTTATCTATTTTATTCACATCAGCTCCAGCTTCTACCAACATTTTTACAAGTTCAAAAGTTTCACGTTTACACGACTCATGTAGTGGTGTAGTAAACGATGCATAATTAACATCTGCGTCATTGTCTACCAGCAGCTTTACAATCTCAACAAAACCATTTTCTACAGAATAACACAGGGCTGTCTTGTCGTTTGAGTCAATCAAGTTCACATCAGCCTTGTGCTCCAGCAGTAATTTAACCATGTCCAAACGTCCACGTTCTGAAGCTTTTATTAACGCTGTCTGTCGTTTGTTGTTTCTACTGTTTACATTGACTCCATGTGTAAGTAATATCCTTATTACATCCAATTTACCTTTACCCGCTGTTAAAACAAAAGTGCACCGAATTTTTTCCAGCGATTTTACATTTTTTATTTTTCTAATTTCTTGTTCAAGATAAACTAAATTATGAACACTTATAGCTATTTTTATTTTCTGTAAAGTATGTTTATCCGATGCATCCATTTTGATGAAAAAACAATTCTGAAATTGAATAGATTTAAAAAAGAAAATAAACTTAATCATATTTAAAAAGACGACATTCTGCAATAATTTAAAGTTTTTAATTATTACAATTCTAGCAATACAAGTGTACAAATCATCGACAGACGTAAACAAATAACACAATTATATTATTGCTAACAAATACCTAACTACAGTATACCAATTAGGCTGAGGAGAGCTAATAAATTATTTTTGACGTGAGCTAAGAAAAGGAATACAATTAACGTTTAATTTGTCTTACTCGACAAATTATGCAAGTACTACTGTACATCAATCGAATCTTCTATTATTTTGATGAGAAAAGTTTGTACAACTTGAATGTGTTCTTTGGTCAATAATATCAGTAGAGAGCAGTGTTTTGAATGTACAACCCAAAGCTATTTTGCACTTTATTTTGCGATTGTTAAGCTACTTTATTTTTATTTGTTTTTTTTTTAAATGCTAGCTAATTAGCTATAGGGCTGTCGCATAGCAAAAACAATTTAAATGTCAAACTAAAGTAGGCTACAATAAACATTTAATTTAGTTATTTAGCAAAGAAACAAATTGGTTATTATAGACTTATTATTGATTCACGTAAGTCGATATTGTAAGTTCTACAACTGTAGTGTTAGAAATCAACAGATAAAGTCTTCCAGTCATACTACTAGGTTGTATAAAAATCATTATATGGTGTTTTATAAAAGTAATATGCAATTTGATGTTGGCTAATGTTAACGGTTGTTCAGCAGTTTTTACACTATGTGTAACTGCACCTCTATTGTAAAACAAGAAAACTTGTTACTTTCCCGTCACTCATCCTATAAATAGTTTTTATGTTTTCCCGAATAAGACAAACGCCAGAACCAACACTTGACCGAATGCGTTATATACCCGAATGGACACCTGCCCAAATTACGATAAATAACTGAATGGACACTTGCGTAAATGCGATAATCACAGGACAAATGATCTCAGACAAAATATCTCAAACAAAATACCCCACGGAAAAATGATCTCATGACAAATGATCTCAGGACAAATTATCTCAGGACAAATTATTTCAAGGACAAATGTTCTCACGGACAAAAAATACCTGGACAAAATATATCAGGACAAATGATATCATGGACAAATGATCTTAGACAAAATATCTCACAGCAAAATTGTAATAGTGTATTGGATGATTTTAGTTGATCTGAACATTTATTTATTGACTGTTATTTGTTTGAGATCTTTAGTCCGTGAGATATTTTGTGTGTAATATTATTTGTAATAATTAATAATAACCGACACTTGCCCGAATGTGATAAATACCCCAATGGATGCTGCCTGAACGGGACGCATAGCTCGAAAGCCGCAAGTGTCTTTCAGGAAAACGTCCTTCTCCCGTATTTGACCACCATGACCCTAGTTATTTGCTCTATTAGCAATGAAAGTAAACTCCATATGGCCCTACACGTGCCATGAGAGCACAGGCTCATCCAATAGTTTTTCACCATTGATTCAATCTGTACCGAATCATGTGTGTAGCCCACCATATAAACGGACAACGGATCAGGTGCTAAAATAGACACTGGGGGTTTTCCCCACGAGAGTAATTTAATTCACGGCGATCACATCAAAGACAAACAAACAAACAAGTAAACACCCAAGACATTTTCATTTATACAAATGCATTATATATATATATATATATATATATATATATATATATATATATATATATATATATATATATATATATATATGCACTGAATACATAGCTTTAAATGACGAGACGTTCAAATTACAAACATCAATTCAAAACTAATTTTCAAAAATACTTACTTGATAGTTGAATACCGTGTGTATTGTATATTTAAAAATTGTTCATCAGTTTAAACATTAACTAGTTTTTGAGGAAATGGCCGGTAGTTAAAAAAGAAATCGAATGGGGATTCCCCGTTTGGTAATCTATGGAATTTCCTAAACGTTATTTTTTCTCGAATATGTATCTGCAATTTTATTTTACATGCATTTTCAGTAAGTGGTTTTTAAATTCTTGAAATTCAATAACCCGCCCTTATTACCCGCAAATTCGTATGACGTTAATAAACTCAAATGTAATAAATATACACATAAACTTTATTAACGAAGTAGCATACGATGTTGCACTCAAAATAGCATATAGTTCATTGTAACATTAGCATCTTTTCTTACATCTTATTGCGAGGGCTATTTTATTATAGTTATTTAAGCTCATTTAAAATCCGAGGACCCTCAGGTTCGAAAAAGGAAATTCTTTTTTAATTATAGTGCTAACATTGGAACAAACAAATCATCGTGTATGTTTCTTGTTATTAATATATACGCATCACTCGTAATTATGTGACTTTTTTGTGCGAAAGATGTTGAAATTATTATAATACTTCCTAATTATTATACATAATTTGTTTTTATAAGGTAACCAAGACAAACACATCATTGTTAACTCTCTTGCGACAACCCAACCGTCTTAATTGCTATCTGACAATGAAAACAAAAATAAACTCACTACGTATTTATTTGCTAACAAATCATACCTAAAAAAATGTATAATTTTTTTTAATATATAAGAAAGCACATACGACATCGCTTAGGTCGGGTGTGTTCACTTATGCTTGCTAAACCTAATAGACACACAACACATAATACAATTATCTCCCTTTATCTCCGCTTCTTCTAAAATATAATATGACTAGACATATTGCCTAGCTTTGCTTAGTTTCTCAAAAAGCATTTTATGATTGGAATGATAAATCTATTGGTGATCGGCTATAATTTGGAGTGCTTAAGTTTAAACTGTAATTTCATTACTAAAAAAGGGATATTTGCAAACTTATTACTTGCAAGGTGATTAGAACTGCAAAGGTTTCTAAAAAGTAAAACATCTAAATTATATTAAATTAACGTTTGCTATTCATTTTTTACAATTTAATTACGATATATATCTTAATTTATAACGAAATGCATACTTAAACAATTGCTATACTTTGTATTTTTCTGTTTTTGTTGAAAATAGTATTTAAAAAATGTAAAAATTTTAACTTTATATAGTTACCTTCTTTATCCATAGGCCAAATAACGCAATCTTTGTTTACTTTTTCACAAACAATTGTTTATATAAGAAAATACGACATCTAGGCAAATATAACCGCTCTAAGGGGTTTTTCGGACGTGAACACAGTTTTTTTTTGTTAATTTCCATGGTCGATCTACGACCTCACAAAATATTAAGGAAATCGTTTGACATTTAATTTTTATAATTAGCTCATGTAAAAATAATTTTACACACGATCAATTTTTAGCACTCGTCGAGGGCTTTGAGTCTACCAACCAGTTTGTTTTTTTTTCTTACGGCCTAGTCATCTATAGACGTGCATGCAAGAAATTAGACAAATGTACATATGTTAATTACCATAAAATCTGTGTTAAAATTACCCTGTTTTTCACAAAAATTACAAAGATTATATACGGAAATGTGGTTGTTCATTTTTGTTCACTTTACATTTTTTTTCTCAGATATTATGGCGATTTTTTTCTGACATTCTAGGTGTTTTCATACCACTTCACAAAATTTCAAGTGGGGTCGTCAGGAAAAAAAGTTGTTTACTTTATAAAGCTCATAAAAGGAGAATTGCACTCAAGGTAATCTTTTAGCTCTTTTTGAATGAATCGACAGATTTTACATACGGCAAACAAGATTTTTGATATATAGCTCATATAAGGCGACGTTTAGTAAAGGTTTGTTTTGACCCTCTCATCTTGAACAACGGACCTCGTGTTCTATTGCCCCAAGACAGGAGCCTGCCAAATTTGAAACGCCTGCGTCGCCGGGAAGTGCCCGATCGGGCACCTGACCACTTTTCTAAATATATCGTTGACGATATGTAACATGTGAGAAAAGACAGGTGGATCACTTTTGGTGCATAGCAGCTCACACTTGGGCAGAATTAAAATTAAATTTTGCACTCTGCGCCATTGCGCCTTCCTTATTAAAATTTAAACTAAATTATTATACACAACTCAACAATAGTGGAACATAGTTAATTAAATTTTAATCATACTATCTTTGAACAACAAGCGTGACGGTTCCGTGCGTTCCCAAGGTCTTATGCAATATTAAAAGAGTGTTTCATCAATGCGTTAACAATACACTGAGTTATTTAAATGTAAACAATGCCTGATCTTGGATCAAGGTTGTTGACGCACGAGTTTACCTACAATTTATGAAAGCTTTGAGTGTGCGTTAACGAATGTCTTTAATTGTGAGGTAGAACACACTTCGTCAAGGACGTAGCGGGGCGCTCTTTGGAGCCAATGATCAAACCTTAGCTGGGGCACAGCGTATGGTCCATTTCTCGATTTAATCATCGAATATAGTGCACCACCGTGACAATATTGTGTGGGTGCTTTAAAACGAGAGTAGGCGCCATAGTCTTCATAAGATAGCCGGGGGCGCCTAATCGACGGTGCCGGAGCGCCAACTGACCCGCCTGATTCAATTTAGTAAACAACAATAATACTACATCTTATCCATAATCTATCGCACCGATAAAAACTAACAAAAGTTGCATTGTGCCACTGGAAAGGCTGGGGAGCCAAATAGCAACATACGGAGTGCCAGAGGACACGCCTTGTTCGGTTTATTGAGCGACTGTAGTAACACATTGCTTTCATAGCTTAAACTACTATTTAAA